TTTTTTTTTTTTTTTTTTTTTTTTTTTTTTTAAGAATAAAATTCAAATAAATAATATAATGAAATATAATGTGTAGGATCCATAAAAAGTAGGTTTATGAAGTTTATTGTTATTGGAGATGTAGAATGTATGAGGGCATCCGCATAGCCTTTAGTTTGTGGTCGTTTAATGGAGCTAATTGCATTAAAGCAAATGCAAATAATTCATTTGATAGTTTAAATGGTAGGCCCCACTGCATCCATTTATTCTATTTAACGCACGCAAGCTAAAACTCTAATTCCTCTCCATATTCTCTTCATTCAACTTGTATATTATAATCCCTACTATTTTTTTTTATATGTCATTCTAGCTTTATCAACCATTAACCAAATAAATGTCGTTTTGGATATTTTGTATATATTTTTTCATTATTACTCTCATTTAGCTAATAATTACACTACGTCTTTTCATATTCACTCTTCATCTTTTCTCAAAGCATCCATCTCTATCTTCATTAATGAGGTTTATTATTGGTAAAAAAAATATTTTTAATTATTATGCAATTTCTTAAAACGACACTTATTAAAAATAGGAGGGAGTATTATTTATCCTCACCCTACTAACCAATTTGCATATTTTCATGTTTAAATAACATAAAAATAATATTGAATGGGTAGAGTTATAGAATTGCGCTTAAATAGGAAACAATATAAGTTCACTTAAAGGCGGAAGCAGTTTTTACAAAACATAAACCTTCAAGAGAGCATCTCACTCTCCATTCGGAATTCTTGCATTAAACTAAGTGTTTGGCCTATTACAACTAGGGTCTACAGTGAAGACTCACTCTTCCTAACCAAAGTTTGTTGGGCCATAGTGTATAGTGAAGACTCACTCTTCCATTAGAGCATCCCAAACACGTTGTTGGCTTATTACATTAGATATTTAATAATGTTGTTTGTGTAATTAAGCACCAAAGTTTGGATCTCGAGAATTATTGAAATTTCAAACCCCCTTTATTCCAATTGTTGAAAACGTAGTTATTCATAGTATAATATATTTTTTTTCCCAAAACGATAGAGATATTATATAACAAGCACAAATGTGCAAAAGATCAGCCACCGGCTGAATACAAACAGCTAACAGCTGAATACAAGCAGCCAACAGCTGAAAAAGTAGGANAGTAACCTCAAGTCGTTGAAGTTACAACCGGGAACCGATTCCCTCATCCATCATCAATAGTGAAGGAGTTCAAGAAATTCGGTAAATATTTTTACTAGTATTTACTTTATAGTAACAAATCAAAATTTGTATATGATGCATGTTTTAAAGATGACGATCAGTTAATTCGCAATTAGTATGTAAGGGTGTTGTATTTATACGATAAATACTTACTTTAAAAATTTTAAATTCCGCTGCGTACAGCCCGTACGGTTCTATCGAACCCAACACCTTTATCACAAATCATCTTGATTTTGATATGAACAAATTACCATCTACTTTTTTTTTTTTGCTTGTTTTCAACTTTAATAATCTCTCTCTCTCTCTCTCTCTCTCTGTAGAAGTAGAAGAAAAATTAAGCAAGTGAATATTATTTTTTCTCTAATAGGATATTGTCGCATTAGTGATGTCTATGGTATGACATATCTATATTTATATAAAAAGCCATCCTATTTACTAAAAATAGTAGGCAGAAAAATCAAATGTAATTAATGCATTCTATTTTCATCAATTTTTTCAATTGTATTTTTATTTTATTGCTAAAAAACCGGTTTGCATTAATTCATCCTTAATTGATGTGTTTTGTAATAAAATCGGACAGATAGACTTCAAGTAAAAACATGTCTCATTTCAAATTTAAGTATTAAAATTTCTTATCATTTTGTTACATTAAAATCCTGAATGAATTGTTTGTCATAAAATCGGACAAAATAATAATTGCATATAATTCAAGTAAAAACATGTCTCATTTAAAATTTAAATTTTAAAATTCCTTATCATTTTGTTACATTTCCGAATGATTTGTTTCTCATAACATCGGACGGAATTAATAATTGTGATATGGGATATTATATGCCTATAGAATAAACCGGTTTACCGTGTTGATCGCGCGAAGCTTGACATCGGAAAAATCGTATTGGTCGAGCAATAATTGGCCAAAAGGGAAGTGATCGAGCAAGATAACAGATATGGTTGATGATCGACCTGGCGAAAGGGGAGCTCAAACATATCGAGCGCTCGAGGGGTGAAAAGCAATCGAGGGTGTGGTTGGAGCGCGAAGGGGCGCGTGGACTTTGTCAGACAATCTCAACGGAATGCGCAGAGGAATAATCTCTCTCCACTCAGAGGGACACGTGGCGAGAGTACATTGGTGCAGAGCAATAGTGGCGATAACCACCTCTGGCATCTCTGACACACGCACACTGTGTGTGTAGGGACATGCAGTGCGGGTAGGACAGCTCACCAAAGTCCGGGCAGCTCCTAGGGCAGGTATCTCACACTTATATATATATATAGAAGTGAGCCTTTTTCTTGTGACTTACGATTTATCCATTACATACTTCGGAGAATTGAGTAAAATATACACTGACTTAAGCATCGGAGACTCTTCACCGAAAAAACCCCCCGGTGTGAGAGTTCTTTGCAGGAACGCGGCGTTCTACCGGCGAGGAGGAGGAAGACGAGCCGATCTCAAGCCGGTCGGAGTGTTTTGCATTATCATTTGGCACCGTCTGTGGGACTTTCGTTCGAAAAGTGGTGTGCTGAGATTATTGAAGCTTGGTAGCTATGGCGGACGGAATTCCTATGAGAGATTTGCAGGCGTCGTTCGACGATGCGTGGACGACGACGAAGCCGTTCGGAGCAGGCCCACCTCCGGGCTTCTCCAGACCTATGCCTACACCGATGACTCCGATACCCGTTCCACAAGGTGTGGGGGTCACGCCGGTGCAGCTGGAGGCCGATGTGGGCTCAAGCCGAGCTCAGGAGGCTCGGACAGCTTAAGGAACGGCGATCCTAACGCCGTTGCAGCCAGATCTGGCCGTGGCGCCGCAGCAAGGAGCGGTGGTGCAGGGAGCAGCACCGCCGCAGGTGGAGGAGCAGCGCCTCGGCCAGCAGGTGGTGATGACTAGGCAGGAGATGCAGCAGATGATGACCAACGCAGCGGCACAAGCGGTCCAGCAGGTCACCCAAAGCGTTTCTCGAGTGGCTGCTGGGTCGACGATGGTGGATGAGGATGTGACTAGTTATGGAGGAAATGGAGCTCTGCGAGATCAGGATATGGAGAGACTCGCGGAGCAGGTGAGATAGATGCAGGCCAAGATGGATGGTCGACCTGAGAGGCGTGGTCGAGGACACCCGTTCTCGGGAGAATCTTGGCTGCGCCGTTACCAGCAAATTTCAGGGACATGAGCTTGGTGTTCGATGGGACTTCTGACCCGTCGAGGCATGTAAGGGCGTTTGAGAACTGGGCTGTGTTACATGGTTATTCTAATTCTGTTAGTTGCAGGGCGTTCTTGTCGACCTTGAGAGGAGGTGCGCTCGACTGGTTTCAGTAGCTCCCTCATGGATCGATCAAAGATTTCGATGATTTCTCGGAGAAGATGATGACCCAATATGCGAGCGC